ATAATTTCAACCATATCTTTTTTGTCATGTAATTACAGAATTATCAATTAATGTGTGGCATTAGATCATGACATAAGGCAATGGTTTAATAATATTTGTGGACAACAACAATTGCATCTGTGGACAAAAATCCTCCATAGTACTTGTTCTGACCCCCCTCGTCCCACACCAACAGACACTCCGAGCCAAAGATAAGTTACGGCATTTAATGAACAGACAGACAGGTCCTTGGCAGCAAACTGGCACAGACAAAATTGGGCAGCAATCCAGCACAGATAAGCCGTGGCAGCAATCCAGCCTGCCAGGATCACAATAATGTTCTCCGACATTAATTCCTGTGTTGACTTCTGCTAGAGGGGCATGTGCACAAGCAGTCCTTTTATAGTCTGGAGAGGAGCCTAATGACCACCAGCTGAGTGCAATTACCTTCCTGTACTTGTGCAATTGTTCCTGACGCCTGTTAGCTCTCCGGTGCAGGGCATCTAGGAACAACTCACTGCTGACCTCAGGCTCACACTCCCTTGTCTCCTCCCCACTGGCCCAAGGCTCAGGTGTCTCCTGGTGGCCAGCCAGCCTCCCTGCGCCCTGCTCAGAGTCGGAACCCTGTCCAGGGTCCTCCACATCCTCCAGAGGTGACTCATACGGCCCCTCGCTGTCGGAGTCTGGTGGCAGCTCCAACGGCTCCTGCTGGGCAACAACCGAACTGCTTCACTTTTATGTAGTAGTTAAGGCAGGGCTATCAAACCTGCAATGACACATCGTCATGTGACATATCACAACTTCCCCCTTCGCTAAACCGGGGTGGGCATGGCCAGTGCATGACGCATCTGGCCCGCAGGCCGGGAGTTTAGATGTAAGGCTGGAAAGGGGAAAGCTGGGTGTCCTTGGGCCAATTATTCCCTCTCAACCTAGGAAACAGCAATGACAAACTACTTCCAAAGAAACCTTGCCAAGAAAATTATAGCAACTTTTCCAGATCTTTACCAACAGTCAACAATGACTTGAAGGCAGAACATAACTAGTAGAAAACTGCTTCTAAAGGAAAGGACCCAAGCATGGAAATATTCTCTCTGACTTGACAGCCTTTGAAATCAAGAACACTTTCAAGCAGAAGAATGTCCTGCGTAAATAATATTACTTTAATAGTTTGTGCTTTTGTCCCATTTTAAATCTAGAAATCGCTACCAATGTTCATGTCAGGGTTCAAATCGATGCCCTAATTAAATCATGAGACTCGAGCCAAGCTTCAAAGGAAATACATCTTATTTATTAGGAGCTTCATGTCAACACATTCCAAGGGAAGCCAACTCTGACTCCATTTAATTTACATCCTGGCTTTGACTCAGTTTCCCCTCTCTCCCCCAAGGTATGTCATTATTCATATTTTTCAACAAAGCAATTTTGTGGGTTGTAGAGATCACTCCCCTCTGGCCACTGTGGGTAACCACAGAGATGGCCTTGAGAGAGAGGTGGCTGGAATGTGCTTTTGTTTTGACTGAAGTGCTCCCTCACTGCAGCTGCAAAGTTCGTTTTTCCCACCCCCCTTACCTATGGCAACTTGAGAGCAGGCCAGGGATGCTTGGAGAGTTGATAGTTCCATTTTGCAATGTGAGGTAGGCTAGTCACCCCCAAATCTAACTTCGATTTTGTTTTGGCTTAGAATCAAACTAGGCAGAATTCATTTTGCAAGATTAAATGTGTACCGGCAATTTTTTGTCATCCATCATGAGGAAACATTCTAAGTTTGAGCATTTGTTGTAGAACCAGCCTGACAATTCCATAGACCAATATTATTTTGGTCTATGGCTCCAATATCTATGGATGTGTAATGGTGGAATTTCCAGTTCAAAAATTTAACCAATCCCTGGGGGGAAAAAACCACTAAGGAATTGCAGCATTTATTTTCTAAAAAGAAACCATCAAGAACAAACTAGTTGTAATTATGCTTATATTACTCAGAATTATTGTTTTACTGCTTGTAGAGGATAGTTTCGTAGCATTAAAGTTGTTTTGTTCCTTACTATATTTTAATTTTCTGGCTTGGCATTCTCTATGAGGTGATTATTTCTTTGAAAGGAATCTTGTTTTGTACTATTCTGATTTCTGTCTAACCTATTTAATAAACCTTTTTCA